CTAATTAATGCTGTTTTCAATTGGAAAACAAATCTAAATAAAGTCGTGGCATGACTGCTGAATTTAAAAAAAAAAAATAAAGTATTAGCGTGACTACTAAAGGTAAAAAAAAAAAAAAAAATAAGACAAAAGCTAATATTATGGTATCAAGTTTTAAAAAGAATAGTATGCAAAGAAAATATGATATTAATTAAAATACTTTTGTTAGTCTATACAGAATATAGGAAGCTCTTATATAAGAAAGAAGAAGAACAAAAGAAAGAATTAGAAATAAGAGTAGTTAGTATAGAAGAAGCAGTAATTTAAAAGGAAATTAGTAATGATAAGATGCAAAGCAAATTAGTAGATATTATGAAAAAGTTAAAAAAGAAAAAAAAGCTAGATATTTATACAGATGAGTTATTAGTAGTAGAGTATGAAGAAAGTAGAAAAGAGAAAAAGATAAGTATGAGATAAATTATAGCTAGTAATAATAGTAGTAAAAAAAATAGTATAAGTTTTTAAAGTAGAATAACTGATTAGCTCTTTTCAACTCAAGTAGAACTAGATACAATATAGATAGTTTTGCTAGCAACTTTTGCTAAAACAAAAGTTAAAATATATTCTAATAGTAATATAACAATAGAAGAAAAACAAGATTTTAAAAGCTAATTAAATATAAGAAGCATGTTTAAAACTAAAAACTGCAGTTTAATTAACTAAATCATAGATTATAACAAAACTAAAAATATTGATTTAGAGCTGATTAAAGTCAAAAACCACAGTATAAATTACTAGAATAATAAAGTTAATAAGTTGGTAAAAAAAAGTTTTTTATCTAACCTAGTATTAGAAATACAAGATATAATAGCAGATAGTATAAGAGTAATACTAATTTAGAAAAACAAACTGATAAACAGTTCTTTCAGATCTTTTATTAATATAATTATATTAATATCATATGAATATGAATAGATAGAACTAAGTAATAACAAACTAATACTAGATCAAAGACTAAATTCGCAAAGCAATAAAGAATTTAACTAAAGAAATACATAAAGCTTGCTAAAGAATTTTCAGAAAAGAAATGTACTAGTATCAAAAAAAGCAAAACTCTGATCTTTAGAATAAAATATCTTAACAAGTTATTATCAACTAAAAATCTTTGTTTTCAAAGAAATTCTAGTCTATATAAGAATAAAACTTGTATAATATGCTTTGTGAAAGAAAAATCTTTAAAACAAATTACAGAATACCAGATTTACTAAAGAATTTAGAAAAAGATTGAAGAATTCATTATAGAAGAGCTGAGTCTAAAACTTGATAACAAATAGAAAATATCTATTTCAAACTAGACTTTAAAAGAAGTATTTATAGAACAGGATGTAACTGAATATATAGCAGAAGAAAATTATATATTTGAGGCCTAACTAGTAATTATCTTATGACAGAAGTCAAAGATATTCTAGGTTCTAATCTCAAAACTAACAAAACAATAAGTTGATTTTCTGAGTTATTCTGATTCAATTTTTTTGAAAAGTTATAAAAATTCCACTATGAAGTTATGCTAGAATAGAAAGAAAGGAATAATATCAAGTTTAAAGAAAAAAAACAAAAAAACAAAATAGAAGTTTAATAAATTTGAAAAAGAAAACTTAACAAATAAAAAGAACCAAAGACTAAGCAAGACTAACTATGAAGAAATAAATAGAAGCAAAGAAGAAAGAATTCAAAATTTAATTGAAACTAAGATCCAAATATGAATTGAAAAAAGAATAAAAGAAAATTGGTTAAGTTTCAAAAATAACTAAGAAATCTTGAAATAGGTGCAAAAAAACCTTCTGTAAATTATCAGAGTATGAATTTGCTTAAACAAACTGCTATTGTAAGAGAAAAATTACTTTTGCAGCTGATCACACTTAGACACCTAAGGCAGCCAAGTGAGTCCGGAATTAGGAAAAAAGAGCAGTTATATAGCTAGTCTAAAGTAGTTTACATTTTTGTTTTAATATTATAATGTTTTCTCTTAATAAATGAAGGGCAGGATCGCCAAAGTTAAAAAAAAAATACATATTTTGCAAAAACTAAGATTTCTGCAAAGTATTTACAAAACGTTGAATTTTTTTTCAAAAGATGCTTAAAGTTTTATTTAAATTAGAATTAGCTAGCAAATTATATAGTAAAAATGCTCGATCAAAAATTTTATTACTGTTCACTTGTGTGCGCACATAGTGATATTTATTTATAGTATTTAATCTCAATCATTATTGCGAACTATATATAGGATTATCAAACAACATTCATAATATTACATTAATAAAATTATAATCTTTTTTAGATTACAATTTACATCACAAAAATCGTCTTCATTTCTCGGAAGATTTTTTGAATTCATAAAAATGAGGCCTAAGACAAAGCAAAAATATTAATATTCTGCGCAAGCATTTTTTAAAACATGTAAAATAAAAATAAAGATGCTTAACGCTAGTTCTGCCAACCAAGTCGGATCGATCACTGTAAGATCTCGCATAAAAGCTTTGGTTGTTTCTACAACTAAAAAATAACCAATAAATATGGCTTAATTTCATATAATTTCCATAATTAAACCACCGATAATTGTATGTTTTATTACCTTCGTGAAAAATGACCCATGGGGCATTCCGCGTAAAAAGAACTGAAGATGGATGAACATATAAGACCTTAAAAAGAAAGAAATAAAATTTATATAATCTTAAACTCAACAAAGACAAGAAGTTAACATTTAATGGTGCGTACAACATTATCCCTAATAGTCCTGAAAGACCCATCTGGCATCATTTTGGCAGCCTGAGAAAAGTAGCCACTAATAAGACATTTTCTTATTTTAACTGTATCGTTACCACATGATTCAAGTGGTACTTCGAATCTGACGAGATACTTCTTTAAGTGCTGACGAATAGATAATGCTCGCGAGAGTGCACGAAAGTTTAAGCAGTGTTCGTGGCACCACCTTGCTGACTTTTTGCCACGAGTAACAAAAGCATTGAATACTTTGCGAGATAAAGAAAATGACAATTTGAATATAATATTATTTAATATCTCAAATTAACAAAAGTTTTCCATAGTACAAATAAACCCACCATTCAGTAATGTTAGATGATCTCCTTCTTCTACAGCAAACTTCCTTTTCTCCTCATTCACATCAGTGTCTGAATTTGAAGGAATGATAAACACATCCTATGTAAATTTAAATAATTGAAATAATATTTTAAAATGCTACATCTAGTGCATTTATCTCGTGTATAATTTACCTGAACAGATAACATGGCGGCTATGGTAAGCATTTCTTCACCACATTGAAATTTATATGAATCTAGTAACTATAAAATTTTTGACAAAAAATAAACACAAAAAACAATCAAAATTGATAAAAAAGAATCAATCTGAGATTATATTCATACAATTTTTCCAAGCATTGGGTCGACTGGAAACTCCGCTAGCTGCATTCCTAAAGGCATTGTTAATCGTCCATGATCATCCAATGCTTTTAAAGAATATAATAACTAAAGAACTTACACGATATTAGGCTTATTTTTTAAAAGGGAGATAATTTAATAATTACTAAGCATAAACTTTACCTCCAATGAGCGTATCATCAATTCCGCAGGTGGAGGTGTCAAGAAATCAAATCTTAACACGTTGTCAATGCCCAAAGCTTTTAAATGGAGCACAACTTGCGCAAGATTACTTCTACAAATATTTTTCAATTTTTGTATCAAAACATATTCATATTTATAACAATAAACTAAATGCTTACCGTTGAATCTCTGGGATACTAGAATCCTCTAAATTATAGAACAAATCTTCAGTATATAATCTGTATGTTTTACCAGATCTAACTCTTCCTGCACGCCCAGCCCTTTGTTGAGCTGATGCCTTAGAAATTGGACACACAACAAGGCTTTCCATTCCAGTTTTCGGATTATAGGCTCGCAACTTGTAATAATTTATTATATTTTATATTGAATAAGGATCACAAACGCACATAATATTTTTCAATAGATAAAATTTATTAATACATACTTTTGCAAATCCACAATCAACAACGTACACAATACCTTCAAGGGTAATAGAAGCCTCAGCAATGTTCGTCGCTACTACAACTTTGCGAGTATCATATGGCGTTGGTTCAAATATTTCTAATTGCTGTTCTAATTGAAGTCCAGCATAAATGGGCAATGGTGATATTTTCA